GACTGTTGCGTTCTTAAATGATGTAGTGTCTTCATGTTGTAAATTGTTTGTCCTCCCCCCCCCTTTGAACTGTGAGCTGCCCTGAGTCCCCCCAGGGAAAAGGGCGGCATACAAATAAAGTGAAACTGAAACTGAAACTGAAACACCCAAGTAGTTTAATGAAAGGGGATCAGTCCCTGCTGCTGATGAAGCGGTACATGATTAATAAATGGTTCCTTTTAAAAAAATGCTTTTTACATGCAGGGTACAGGTCGGGGATGAAATAGGATGGCAAATTCAATCATTTTAAATTTCTATTTGTTTCCCCTCTCTTACAGGAAAGCAATCTCCAGGTCTGGCCTTCAACATCTGACTCCTGTTCAAAACCTCAACCTGAGCATCAGTAATGGACCTGTGAAGGAGCCGAGAATGGCACTAGAATGGAGTGTAAGATTTTCCTTTTATAAAACCCTGCATATAATGTTCTATCACGGATGTAAATGCCACACAGCTATTATGAACCATGTTTTGGTATTTATTGTGTACTGTAGAGACTGTACATTCTCTGGTGTTTATGGTAACTGATTCATTTTGCATTTTGATTGAGATGGAGAACTTATGGCACTTCAGCTGATGTACCTGTAACTCTCTGCAGTTCCTAGTCATCCTGGGAAACTGAGGGAAGATGGAAGATGCAGTTCTGCAAAATTTGAAGAGCTATAGGGAAAAGCACATAGATATTGTTGTGGCTTGTCGGCTACTGGCCCCTCCAGAAGGCAAATCTGATGAGGAAGAGGCATGGGAGTCAGGATCAGCATCAAGGCAACCTGAGAGCTCCAAGGGGGAAGAGGGAATGGAGATGTCAGAGAGAGAGAGAGAGAGAGAGAGAGACCGAGGCAGAGCCCGAGCCATCCGTCAGCCCTCAGATAGAGTCAACAGCCCCCAGGTCTGGAGGTGGCTGATGAGGAAGAGGAGGAGTCCAATGCCTGATGCATGGATGTGTAGAAGGAGAGGAGAGCAGTGGAAATCTGTGGGCTGATCCTTGGGACAGAAGAGCCACTGCTGCTAGTGGACCCCAACCCTACCTCTGGGGGATAAAAGGCAGGGGGTGGATATGAATAGATGTAGTAGACAACTATTCATCTCCCTGCCAGACAGACTTGTTAGCCTCTCTTGTGGGAGAGAGACTTTTTTTTTAGGGTTGCTGATGCTCCTAATAAAGGAATAGTTGATTAATTACAGAGGGATTGACGTGTTTGGGGAGTTGGTCAGAACAGATATTTAAAAATTTTAAAATACTGGTAGAGCCAAAGTTTTTCATTTTGGTAACAGTCTAGATCTAGGGTGTCAAACTGGATTTCTTCAAGAGCTGGATCAGCATAGTAATTCTTCTCCACAGTCGAGTGGGGGGGGGAGGGGGAGATGCAGAGGTGGGTTCCTACCAGTTNCCCCCCCCCACCCCCAAACTTGGATTTTGACAAAAAGAGCGTGTGGATACTCACAAACATTCAAAAGGGGAAGCATACATTGTTTTCGTTTTGGCAGACAAGATTGCCTCTCCAATACAGATTAGCCAGCACTCACGAAACATAAAAAAGGGTTTCAATCATAAAAAAATACTATAATTCAACACCAGACTTTTTTTTTTACAGTTATAAATAATAAATAGCATAACACAGTAGATTACAAGTAGATCTCTTTCCTGTTGGTTAAGCCTGGTTAAGATCTCAAGACGTAAATAAACCATTGGCTGTAGCCCAAACATAGCTAAGCTACTACAGGTTGTCCCTCCTCCTGGCTTAAAGGGAAGCTCTCCTCGTGGACCAACAGTTTTGCGTTTTGAGCCCAACGAACGTATTTCAGGCCATTCAGCAGGTCTTGTGGCTGCTGCCTTCCAGGCAAACCTCACCCTGGAGAGGTGGGAGGATCTCCTCCCCTTCCAGCCCCTCAGGAACCACCAAAGAGCAGCAGGAGGGCAGCAGCACCTGGTATGAGCCCCCCTCCCCATTTCCTCCTTAAAGCCTTTCCCCTCCACCCAGATCCTTTGCTTACATTCTTCCATTTTTTTACTAGGTCTCCTAAGGCACAAACGTTGCTCAGTGCCGCGGGAGACACCGACTATTCGACGTACTCTACTTGATAGCCGAAACAATCGCCCCCTTTCCCCTTCTCCCACCCACCCCCAAATATTTTTTTTGCCACCGGTCATCATCCCTGCAGCCTTGGACGCCACCTCAGTGCAACCCGAGACGCAGCGGACGAGTTCAATCCTCCTCCGTCCGCTATGGATACTCTGCTGCAACGGAGCCGGCCTTCACAAAGTGTTCAGGCTCCCCAAAGGGGACAGTGGCGGCCGCTGCTTGAACCACAAAGGGCAATTTTGCAACCTCTTCTCTGTAAATGAAGAAGTAGAAGATGCGACTAGAAATAAAGGAGGCCCTCCTATTAAATAATTCTTTTAGGGGTATTGTGAACGAAGGGGGGGAAGAAGAGGGGAGGAGGCCCAGAATGCGCCCTTGTCCATCAGAAACAGTTCATTTCTTCCCCCTAAATGAATTTCTAGAGCAATCTAGGTTATTCTTTAAAAAAAAAAAAAAGCATGTTGAACAAGGACAGTTTTCTAACAATTCCCTCATCCCCATCCGCTACCTCCAGAACCCACGACCATGATAGCAACAGTGAAAGGCTCCCCCGCCTACCATTTTCACACTCATATAAATTAGGTGCTTGTCCTGAAAAATTCTAAAAAGCATTGCGGTTTCTTTTTAAAGCAAAGATAGTAATGATTCTCAACAGATACGAGTAAAATAACGGGGTTGGGTTGTTGTTTTTTTAAAAAAAGCCGCAGAACCAGACAGCCAAAAGGACCAATCGTTAAGGGCCTGGCATGTCGGTCGAAAGAGAAAAAAAAAGATCATCAAAACCCACTCGGAGAAGTTGCCAAGAATTAAAAGTCGCGTTCATTATTTCCACTCAGTACTTAAAATCCTCAGGTCCTGGAGGATTCGTTTCCCATCAATTTTCTCAGCGCCTGTGCAGAGTTGAGAGAGTCAGCAGATGTCGACCCCTCCCCTGGGAAAAGTCACTTGGGCGAAAGGTCGTCCATCAAGAGGAAGGAAGAGCAGGAGTTGGAGCATGCGAGGGGCGATTCGGCGGTGGTGCTGCCTTTGGCCAAGGAGTCGGAGGAAGAGCTGATGCTGCTGGTGCTCCCATCCAGGATATCCGAAGACAAACTGGGAAGAAATAAGGGGGGAGGGGGGAAACACACCATTTTATTCAGGTAGACTTTGGATAAAAAGGATGGCGCAGCTGCCCTTTTGCAGAATGGCCCTTAAACAATATCCCTGAAGGAGATATTATGGAAGGTTCTGTAGCCCTACTGGAATCAGCTTAGAGACTGCGTAAAACAGGAGCAACTCTGCGTTTTTAATGTAGGAGAAATATACTACCGTTCAGCCTCTACTCCAAGGCTGGCGGCCCTGAAATCTCCTCATTTTATAGCGCGGAAGGAATATGCATTCTCCTTAGAACATAGAAAAATAAGACTTCCATCACGCGGAAATACAAGGGATGCTTTCAAACTGCTAGGTTGGTAGAAGCGGGGATAAGTAACGGGAGCTCAGTCCGTTACCCAGTGCTAGGGATTCAAACCGCCAAACTGGCAACCTTTCAGATTGACTAGCTCAGCGTCTTAGCCACTGAGCCACCATTATGTACCATAACGGACACCAAAAAGATGGGAATTAACACTTTCCCCCAGTGGAGCTGCTGACCAGTGGCAGCTTTTCAGAGGATCAGACGAGATGGTGTCCCAGTTCAGCCTGAGAAACGGCTCGGACCGAGTTTCAGAACGTCTGTCCTGGAAGCAAACATCTGGCCAACACTTTGTAGCCCTTTCTTAAAACCTCAGGGTGATTCTTCCTGCTTGATCCATGGACTTCTCAGCACGGGTCATAAAAATTATGCATCCTGTATGAAACTGTAAGGATCAGGGGCCACAACTGCCTTGATGCCCCATTCATAAGGCGGCGAATTCCAAGCACCTTTTCTGCAGAAATAATTTACCATGAGCTGAGGTCGGTCAGGTGGGTGACATCAGGAGAAAGCATGTTCGTGGTTCCCTGGAAAAGTCTCTTTGGCTGGCTTTCAGTTTCCATTTCACCTGTGGGGATTCAAGCCGTTCTAATTAGATTTGAAAAGGAAGCCTTTTAAGAGAGGCGGTCCCATCATCTACTTCAGATGGCCACACTTTGCCACGGGAGGCAAGATAAATATCATCATGGCACAGAAAACCAAAGCTTTGTTAAGAACAAAGGGAACTGGGAGAGTTGTGCTATGAACACATAAAGGGTGTCTTATTCTTGACATTTAGCAGGTAGGACGTGTCCCTCCTGGCCTCCTTCTGAAAAATAAGCCCTTGGCAAACTACCCAGGGTACATGGCTATTTTTCAAAAGGAGGGAGGTTAACCCCTTCCTTCTCTTCCGAAGGAATTATCCTGCAAGCTCCAACAACATGCCCAGGTTATATCCAACCTTTTGCAAGGTTTTTTCCCCCCTTCTTAATCAAACAGAAGAGGATAAAGAAGTTTCTATTTTCTGCTTAGAGAGAGCAAGAGAGCTACTTTCAACAACCATCTCCCCCTTTTGAGAATTCTTGTTTGTGTGATCCAAGACCAAAATCCAAGATTTTTTTCGGCTTCTTGCTTGTTGCTGAGATTTATGGAAGGTTGCTTTCGTAGCCCTACTGGAATCAGCTAGAGACCGCGTAAAACAGGAGCAAAATTCAAGATTCTGCGTTTTTAATGTAGGAGAAATATACTACCATTCAGCCTCTACTCCAAGGCTGGTGGCCCTGAAATCTCCTCATTTTATAGCGCTGAAGGAATATGCATTCTCCTTAGAACATAGAAGAATAAGACTTCCATCACGCGGAAATACAAGGGATGCCATTCTCGGTGGTCACATACACCAGCCTGTGTCCAAGAACTTCACACAGATGTCTCTGTGAATTGAGATCGTTCCATCAGGAGGAAGTGATCGATAAACTAGGCTCTCTCTCCCGCAAACACATAGCAACGGCCAGCTGGGGGAAACATCCTTGTGCTGCCTAATACCTGATGTACTGGACAACATTTTGGAAGCATTACATACCTTTTCTTTTAATGGGACCAAGTACACTGGGCCTGATGCAGTTGATTGGACTCTGACTCCTCCTGCTAAAATCAAAGTCGGAGTATTATCTTTCTAGGATGTTTGAAGCCTCTGAAGGTTGTAAGGAAACGCACCCCTGAATTATTTTAAAATCAGCGTCTGTTTTGCGGCTATAATTATGTAGGAGCTCTAGAAATAGAAGACCTCACTTTTTGCCAGACTTAAAAGCTAATCTAACCAAAGGTTTCTGGGAGTTGGAGTACATTTGGAAGCAACCAATCTGGACAGAATGGACAGGATTTCTCGTAGAGGACATGTAGAGGGGCCAATAAAGAACTTAAGGTTAAGATACATCTAGCATTTTTTTAAGTTTCACAAGCAATTACCTGATGGAGTTTAGTTTTTAAAAAAGGAAGCTAGATTTATGTGTAACTGAAGAAGATTTATAGATTTACACCTGACTGAGGTGTTTCTTAAGTTTCACAAGCTAGATACCCGAGTTGAATTATTTAAAAAAGCAAATCTAAATTTTCCAGAATTCTACTTTCCTGGATTCTTACCTTACCCATGGAAGCAAGCCCATGGAGGACCAGGAACTACAGACAGAATCTGAGGATATCTACGGAACCTCCACAGAGGGAAGCATCCAGCCAGACGTTGTCAATACTTGGAACATTTGCTAATGTTAGCTCCATCCTTGGGTGGATCCTTCTTCAGGTGGTATTACAGTAGTGAAACTGTTATTATTAAGAAGGCCTCCATATCTCAAACACTTCAACTCACTTTGAAAATCTCCTCGTGGGACTAGGAATAGGGCTCGGAGGCAATCCGTTACTGCTCACAAACATTTGCAGAGACGGTGAGAAGCATTGCTAGGAAGGAAAAGCAAAAAAAAAAATTGCATGGGATTTAAAAAGGCACAAATGAAAAATTCACCAGAATGATCCATGGACAGGAGAGGAGGGGAGCAATTCAAACCCCCTTTTTTGGCCCCTTCTCCAGATCTGACCTACCTTTCCTATACCTCTGGTGGGCGAAGGAGCTGGAGAAACAGGAATGAAGTCTATTCTCTTTGGAGAGGAAGATTTTTCGGATTTGTCCAAGTCGTTGTCGCTCTGGGAACACAAAGCATCCCATTTATGGTTTACGTGGCATGTGGCAGACAGAAAAGCTGAGCCGTTCTAAGGAAAAGCCAAGTGGCGAACCGGCCACTCCCCTTAAGCTACCTCTGTCTTGCTCCTTGCGTTCACTGGTTAAGTGAAGGAGTGGAATTAAAATATTAAACATCTGTATAAAGAGATTACCAGGCTCAAGCTTTCTTCCCATGACTGGCTTATCTGCATTGCTGTTTGCACTTCCCTAAAACACAAAAAGGGTCATCAGTGCCACAGCAGGACGAGAGGCGCCACTTCTAGAGAGCGTCTGAATCACACCTACCTTTCATGGGCTGTTTCTCTGTTCATCAGGTCCACGCCTTCCTCCTGAGGAAGAGGAAGAATTCATGTCTCGGGGGTTCATACCTTCCTGCCTAAATTGACTGGCACTCTGTTATCAATGTAGTTAAGAAGAGCAGAAAGCAGTAACATGGTCAGACGGACCATGGCTTGGGGGCGAGAATATTCCTTCTATACAGCACTGCTTGCTTGCACTCCCAATGTCAGCTGGAAGAGGTCTTTGCATCTCCAACTTTGGCAGCTTTACGACTTGCAGACTTCAGTTTCACAAGTTGAAGTCCACAAGTCGTAAAGTTGCTAAGGGAGATCCCTGCAATTAGAGGGTGTGTGTGTGTGTGTGCGCGCTTTCACAAAAGAAAGCTCTGACAGACAGAACATTTGGAATAAGCGTGATGTTCAATTTAGGTTGCCAAAAATGTCCCCTGTGCCAGCTACGTTTTTGAATCAGTTAAAAAAGAATCTGCACAGAAACCTGAGGTATGTTCTTTTCATGGAAGAAAGGAACCTGTTTTATTCACTTACCCTCCTGATCTGATGGAGTCGACTACTAGGGATACGGATCGGAGATGATGGTATCAGCTGGGAAAAAAAAACACCACAGGCAGTTGTTTCAAAAGCCAGCAAAAATAAAAAAACACAAGCAAAACAAAACCTCCTTCCTTTCAGGAGCATTATTTCCATGTTGGAGGAACATACTACCACGCAACCTGTGCTTCAAGGAAAGGGGCTCGGAAAGCTCCTCATTTTATAGCACTGAAGGAATGCTCATTCTCCTTGGAAGGAAGAAGAATTAACCGTTTCCATCATGCAGAATCACGCAACTCCCACATTCCAAAATGACCCAATGCGTGACAAAATAAAGCCCATTGCTTTGTATATTTTAGCCGCTAAGAAAAGACATGAACTCAAACGCTTTTTCCCAAAACAGGCGACACAATTTTGTTTTGGCAAAGCAAAGCACAGCACAGCTGCAGAATTAACTGTGTGTGTTAAAATCCAGAGGGGCATTTTTGATGCTGTTGAACCCAACCAAAAACCTGAAAGAAAGTGCACACTTCTGGATTTCTCAGCCTTTGGGAAGGGCACCTGCTCAGGATGTAGCCGACAAATCATTCTAGGTCCTCTTCCCTCCTGGTCACGTGACACAAGAGGACCATGTGTTTGCCCATCCTGTGTTTCCCAGTGCATGTATGTGCACATTCACAAATACATCCACAGGCCAATTTCTCGGTCTCCAAAAAGACCGATAGGTTGTTATTCTCCTGGCAAAATCAGCCTGCTGCCCTGGCTCCATTCCCACCCCTTCTGCTACCTAATTCCTCCTTCAGTAGCCTTCCTGTGGACTCCCATCTGTAAATCCTTGCATTGCCTAGCTGCTGCCTTTTAGGGGATCAAACCATACCAGTCACTAAAGTTCGGCCTGATCTTCTCTTGCCTTGACAAAGCAGTTCAATTCCAATCACCTTCACAATGTATAAAGTCCAGAATCTTTCTGTGCCTCCAAAACACTCACCATGCTATGCCGGTTCATAACTGTTGTGCTGTTCCTGCGGGTTCGTAAGACATAAGGCTGAAAAACCTGTGAATTATCACTGGAAAGAAATAAAGCAGAATTGTTACAACTCTGGAATGGTTTTCCCATCATTAATCTACCTTCCATCCTTTTTCAGTCCGTGGCCTTTTTCTACTACACGCCTTAAGTGCTGTAAAAGAAGACACCTGTCCTTTTGGCTAGAACCGTTCTGCAGAGTACCATGTAAATTGGAAGGGCCATAAATGTGTAGGTTATATTCCTATCATTGCATTCCCCCAACCTTTGAGCAGATACCGAAAGAACTGGTTGATTCTGTGGTTCTGCAGCCTGGGGAGGAAAGATTCACACCTTGATAACTTCCATTGCAAATCTAGGTTACTCCGGCTGGGGAATTCTGTGCGATGAAATCCACAACTCTCAAAGTTGTGGAGGTTAAGAAACACTGATCTAGACCAACCTAGGCCATCTCAACGTGCCACATTATTTCAGAGCTGAGGTGGCGCAGTGGTTAAATGCAGCACTGCAGGCTACTTCAGCTGACTGCAGTTCAGCAGTTCAAATCTCACCGGCTCAGGGTTGACTCAGCCTTCCATCCTTCCGAGGTGGGTGAAATGAGGACCTGGATTGTTGTTGTTGGGGGCGATATGCTGACTCTAAACCGCTTAGAGAGGGCTGAAAGCCCTATGAAGCGGTATATAAGTCTAACTGCTATTGCTATTGCTCTATCCATCCATCCATCCATCCATCCATCCATCCATCCATCCATCCATCC